AAAAAATTGATATAAAAATCATTTTGGCACCCAAATCATTTTGGTACCACTAAAATTTGGGACATGACCCCTATCATTTAAATCCGAGGCCCTAAGGTTATGAACCCGCTTGGGCATATTTTGTGCCCCGATACGATCAAAGCAAAAATTATAAACATGACCCATACGATTGCAATTTATGCAATGTAGAGGTTTGAATGGTTTACGTTGACCAAAATGAAATGCACGTGGTTCATTTGTAAAGATAGATTTTCCTTTGTAATTATTTTGCAAACGAGAATTTCTTTTCAAATCGAAACAAAACATGGCCAAATGACCAAAACAACCACAATAATCACATTTATACACACGAGCATGTTTATGATCTACACTATGTGTGTGTACATGTGTATGTGATGAAGAAGCTTGATGGGATGCACAATCATGAATAGGCTTGTCAATTTTTGGTGCATTATGATAAAATTGAGCTAAATGGCCTTTAAGATCGCAAATAGAACATTTGTGAATTTTGTCATACATATGTGCATATTGAATAGGTTTCTTAGAAGAATTAACATTGAACTTTGCACATAAGTCCATAAGCTTTTTATTATTAGCAATACAAGTGTTTAGTGTTGAATCTAAGGTAGATATTCGTTTTCTCATTTGATTCAACTCATCATTGTGCATACAAGCATTGCTACTAGAAGTAGGATAAACAAGATTATTCATCATAGATTTTAACTTATCTACTTCTAACATAGCATCACGTTTTTCATGAAGCAAACTAGCATTTTTAATTTTTAAATTTTATTGCATTCTTTAAGAATTATATTTTCATTTTGCAATAAAATTAAACTTAGTAGCTAGTGTTTCATGAGTGGATTTCATATTAACATACTTACTCTTTACATCAATATAGCAATTGTGTAATTTTTCAAACTCAAGAGCAAGTTCATCAAAAGTAATAATATCATCGTTATCGCATACCTCACTAGGGTTATCACCTAGTGGAATTGTACATGGAGATGAGGCTTCTTTAGAACTCAAAGTGGGATTTTCCAACGCTTGTTGAATGGCCTCCAATTTCCCTTCATGTGCTTCAATACATTTCCATAAGGCGTAAGCACTATCAAAATTAGCAAATTTGTTAGAATATGAAGAGTGAAAAGCATTAATCAAATATTCTAACAAAACCTTGTTCATATTAAACAATCTTTTATCATTCTCACACCATTTGGATTTTTCCGAAACAGGAACAACATAGCCATCCTCAATAATTTCCCACAAATCGAATTGTTTAGATTAAACAAATAGTTTGAATCTAACACACCATTGAGCATAGGGAAAAATATCCAAACGAGGAGCAATATTAATAGCATATCCTAAACTAGATGAATCATACATATCCATAAAGATAATATGCAAGAAGCAAAATGTAATCAAAATTAGATTAGCACAAATACGATAACTTGGATCTTTAACTCAAGGCGATTAGACCTTAAATCAAAGAGCACCAAGTTCTGATACCAATTGTTAGACCCTAAAGGGGGGGGGGGGGGGGTGTGGGTAATCTAATCCAAATTAAATCCCAATTAAAAATTAAGTTAATCAATTTGATCTTGCAAGAATGATATAAGATGGATATGAACAAGAAAGATAAGAATAAGCACAAATGAAATATACGCTAAGCAAACACAAACACAAGATATGTTTACGAAGTTCGGTCCCCACGACCTACGTCCCCACTCCTCACCTCGAGGAGATCTCCACTATCACAATCCGGTTTGGAAGCCGGAACTTCTACACACTTGATTTACAAGTTCACCGAAAACTCTCACACACCAAACACTATGCAATCACACTTTACACACTAAGTATAGGAACCTAGCCCGTGTCCTCCTACTCAAGTGCTCGGATGCAACCTCTTCCTAGGTTCGTCAACCGACGCCACTCCTATTGGATTCGACCCCGTCTCTCGCCTCACACTTCACTCGGTGTACAAGTGTATTACAAGTGATACTCACAAAAGAAGATTAAATACAATTGTTTGTTATCAAATAACAAGTGAGAACACAATGAAGCTCACACTCACTAAATCACACCCCACAACCCACACTATATGTTATGAAGATATTAAGCTCAATATGTGTGTGTGATAACAGTGCATGAAAATAATACAACTCAATAAATATAGCTAATGAAATGAAAATGGAATAGTAAGCTATATAAGAGTTTAGAAAACTTCTCAAATAAGAAGAACAGTAGATGATGATCCCAATAGGATTTGAAAGTCACTTCTTGTTGTAGGAAAACTTCTTTTGAAATAGACTAATGAAATCAGCTTAAACTGCTCTTTTAAACACACTTAATATTTTGTTAAACACCTAACTTCTTGTCTGTAAAAGAGAGCAGCAATGGGGTATTTATACCTTCTCAAGTATCAGCCAAAAACCAACTTGAAAAGACTAAAAAGCCCCCAGAGAGCCGTTGTGAAAATAGCCGTTAAAAACCAATGATTAAATCGGCGGTCGACCGTGGAAATCTCGCGGTCGACCG